GCCGATGCATATGCGTTCGGCTCGGCTGAGCCGCTCGGCCATGATGGGGAGCTGTACGGGCTATTGTGAATAGCCCGTACAGCACCCCTTCGGTTCTACTGAACCGAAGGGGTCCTGGGGCCGAAGCTAGCCGAAGGATCGGCCGAAGCTACGGCCAGATCCTTCGGCAGCTTCGTGAATAGACCCATTATTAAAAAAACATTTAATCTTGCGACATGCAGGTCTATAAATAGAAGCATTTGAAACATAACTGTTTATTCAAAGAGTTTGCACCTACCATAGTCTTTCCTGGGTACAAAGTGTGTGGTTTGACCACATGTTCAGGTAATTTAATTTGAAGTGCCTTGCATTATTCCTTGAAATTAATTAACTATTCATTTTTTCAATTTAATGAAATGTGATTATATTGCAGAAAATAATGGAAACGTGCAAAAGTCACAGACAGTTCTTTTAAAACGTTTGATTTTCAGCAGTAAATTAATTGATGTGAAAATAATATGTAACATGAATATTTACTGTTTTACAAAAACAGAATATGCTGTAATTAATTTTATAATTAAGGCCCCCTCAGCCTTATTTAATAAAACTAGGAAAAGCATTAAAACAGATTTAACAGTCCGGCAATGCTTTGTATGCAATCATCTAAGCACAAGATAATTCTATGTGAAGTTTGTGTCCACTGAGATTAGTGTTTACTCATAGCGCCAAACTGTCCCTCACTTGGAGGAACTGTCCCCCTTTTTTTATAGCCAAATCCCCCTGGCTCTCATTCCTTCTTAGTTTTGTCCCTCTTTTTAATCTGATGTATGGACCTCTGTGAGAATGGATGCAAAAACAAACGTTCTTAGTATATTTTCTTGTTCTTTCGAATGAGATACAGTATTAGGAAAAAACTGCATTATGACTACTAGATAGAGCTGTGGAGCATAAGAAAGAAGAATTTATTTCCTGTACTCCTCTGCACCTTCTAGTGGCCATAATGCAGCATTTTTCCCAATATTACATTCAATCTGAAAAGAAACTAAACTAAGAACATTTGTTTTTGCCTCCCTTTGCACAGAACAAATGGTCACAAAGTTTCACAGAATGAATGCCAGTGCAAATTGTTTATAAATACATGCCAAAGGGTTACACACGTAACCCTTAAAATATCAGGATTCATTTTTGCTTCTATATTTCATACTGCCCAGTACTATGTTGTTAACAGGATGATTTGGTAACTCACCCTCATGAATGCTTGATGTATCTTACAGTTTGCAGACTTTTGGTACAGTTCAATTGTCCCTGAATAAACATCACTGGTCCCATTAGAAGAGAAGTAGAATCTGGCTGGAGTGCCGGTCTTCCTCTTAACATCTGAACTGATATTATAGTGCAAGACTGAAAAGACAGGAAACAGATTGTTATTCAAATGTTCCATTGCCTCCAGACATTCACTTTCATTAAAATATTAAATAGGAATAAATGTTTGGATATTTCGCCTAAGTGAGGTTAAATCGAGAATGCAGCAAAAATAAAGAATTTTGCATGGTTAACCATAGCTTCTCAAAAATCTTGCTGACAAATTGAGCCAAGTGTAGTTTAAGTGAAAAAAATAGTTTCCCTATGTAACACAAAAATCTGTATTCCATAAACTTTTAATACAAGGTGTACCCTTGACTTTGCATTCACAGAGATTTAAAGGTTCTCTAAAAAGAGCACAGCAGAAGCTGTTGACCTTCAGACTTTCCCTCTAACTGAAACTTCCTATGGCCTGTCTGAGCAAAGCAGGCAGGTAGAGAGAGGAGGGGGGCGAGTTACTGTATGCAATGGAGCTTGAGCTACTGAGCTCTGTAAATAACCCTAAATAACAATCATCAGGTACATGCCCAGAATTTCAAGAATATTAACCAAACTGCCACAGGCTGAACTAGACAGGCTTATTCAACCTTACCTACTATGTTACTATGCTAGCAGAATTTTTTTTAAATCTCTCCTTTATAGCAAATCAACATGCTTTCATAGCTGTATGTGCAATCCAGTCATTTAGTCCTTGCAAAAAATGACCACATCTTTTATTATTTGGTCAAAACCTTGTAAATATCTAATTGATGAACTGTGGGTCTGAGTGGTCTGGTCTGTTGATGAAGCCATTTTTGTTTGGTGAGCACTGTAATCAATGAAGTCATTGAAATCATTCCAAAATAGTCAAGTTTGTTTTCATGCCATTGTAATGCTGATGTCATACAAGAGATTCCAATACTAGTGCCAGCAGCCGAATCGCCAAGGTTACTACCACTGCCTTTAGTGTGTCCCTTCCTTGCTGTTCCAGAACACTGCAGAATTAGGGAGCAAAATCTCACTAGTTTGTGCAACGAGGAAGTGACTCCATAGGAAAAGGTAAGTTGTCTCTTCCGGATCATGGATCGCTTTGTCTGATAAGGCCCTGTGTGTTATATTAGGTTCTATAAAAACTGTGCATTACACACTTTCTACTTCTGTAGAAAAGATTTCAAATGTTGAAAATGTGTAGGCAAATGTATCTTAGAGTAGAATTGGAGATTTCCAACTTTGGCTGGCTTTCATGGTATGCCATGGCTCCAGGAGCTCCAACTTTCATGCCACAAGCAAAACCATTCTTAGGAACACATATAGATTCAAACAGATTATCTTACCAATGTGACCAGGTACACTACGTCCTTCATATTTAAAGCAAATTGTGACATTCATGCACACGGCAGGATGTCCATTTTCCACACATTCAGGTTTTGTACGATTCACGGAATTTGGCAGTTTTAAAGACGCATCAATGGTTACAACTGGTCTTGTTCTAAAGATAGCACACAAACAGAAGCAAATACGAGTTCAATGTTAATATTACTATTTGTGTGTCTTCTGGCTAAGATTATATGCAGTGCGTTTATCTGCTAAAACACTAATGGTTCTAAAGTAATTTTTTAAAGTTTTTAAACATATGCTTCATTTGTTTCATTAAAAATACATGGTTCATTTACTTGTGTGTGCAAATTTCACATTGAGCCATTGAGCTCTGTAAACAGGTATTTTACAAAAGCAGATGATGAGAAACTGGAAAAGTGTTAAAATGAGTCAAGTGCTCCACCTGTACGTACAATCATCATATATACAGGGCTCAAAATTTCAAGTCCTGAGCTACTAGCCAGGCCTTAAGAGTTACTCGCCACGAGTTGCCCCACCTAACCCCAACCCTGCCTCAGCCATAACTCCGCCCCTAAACCCACCCTCTTAAATTATCTTATGAAATTACACTTTTAAATGTTAAAGGCAGAATAAAGTTACAAAAATAAATATTAACAACAACAATATTAAGATAAAGCAATGTAAACATTGCGGCCCTACACATCCCCACATATAAAATAAATACCCTCCCCCCCTTTTCTCTGCCTCCCCCCATATAAAATAATACCCCACCGTTCTCTGCCCCCACATATAAAATAATACCCCACCGTTCTCTGCCCCC